CTCAGCACCTTGGTGTCCTGAGGAAAGTTCACAACTGTGAACTGAAACGTTGACCATTTGGATTAAATACCTACATTTTTTTGAAGTCCTTGAGTGCTAGCTTTTTTCTTGGAGGGTATATATATACAGTATATATATATATATATATATATATATATATGTGTGTGTACGACAATACTATAATGGCATATTTTATTGTTATACAAACATAATGTATAAATTTAATTTATTCTGAATTATTTTCTTTATTATTTTACTTTTCAATACCATACATTTTTTTTGTATTATTATTATATGAAAAAATAATTTAAATTAAACATATTTGAAAAGAAAACAATAGAAGCCAAGAATCCATGGAGAACTCTGGCATCCCAAACACAGCCCTCTCCACGCAAACTTTGCTTCAAGCCGGGAATCCACAGTCAGTCTCTAATACTAAACAAATATAAAGAAGGCTGGACATCACAAACTGCCAATGGAGGTTATTTTGTTGTGGGAAAGGCACCATAAGTATGCAGTGTTTCAGCTATGGTTAAGGCACACTTAATCCACTTGTGTTTTTCCCATAATAAAATAACCCCTATTGGCAGTTAGGGTTGCTTAGCCTTCTTTTTATATTGTTAGAAAAAAAAATCAGTGACTCTAGGACATGTTAAGAGGAAAGGACACGTGTTATCCGCAAGACAAGAATGAAACTCCATGGAGGCTAAAATGCACCTCAACTAGATAGCAGGTAATAGGCATATGCTAATGTGGGAATGCGCAGGTAAGGTTATATGGAGCCAAGGGTATCAAACCTCACAGATAGGGCAATAACAAATGAAGTCTTAGGGTATAGTAGACAAGTACAATAAAATAATTGTCAAACAGAGGGATAGTAAACAAACAAAAACAGATTTCCAGACAAGCCTGGAGTGCTTCAGGTTATTAGTTGTGTTCTGCTGCTTTCTGTAAAAATAGAAGGATCTTAGAAAGAAGGTCAGTGAAAGAGGAGAGAATGCCTCTAGGTGGTCATGTTTCTTGACAGATCTGGTACAAGAAGAAGGTCCCTCTAAGTGGTGAATGTTCCTCACAGCTCAGAGAAGAGTCACTGTTTTTAGACCATTATGAAATTTGACAATTAAGTCCCTAGGAGTATTATCAGGAGCTGCAAGGGATTAGGTAATCCAGAACATACAGCTCAACTGCATAAACTTGACCTGTTTAGGTTTAAGAACTGTATTTAATTGCAGGGGCAATCTTTTCCAACAGGTCCTTGATTTTTTTTTAAACTTTTTATCCTCCATGGCACCTAGCCACTTTGCAGTATCCTGCTGAAAGTACTTGAGTTGTGTGAGTTTCTGTTCCAATGTGACCTGTTGAGACTGCTGATCCCCTACATCCTCTTCCACTGTGTTCACTCTGCCTTTAATTTCTTCCCATAACTCTGAGACATGTAAGTCCCATTTGTGGTCAGCATAGAAGTATATACTGCGGAGAGAAGAGGATAGGAGAAAATTTGTCTGATCCACAGAAACTCATCCGCAGCATTGAGAGATGAAACACCAGAGAAAGAAGAAAGATCATCCATTTCCGGTGCCATACTGAGAGGCTGTTTTTATTGCGACCTTATAAGCATATACCCAATTTTTTGGACTCCTACAGGTCTCTCCAATCTCTATTTCTTGTTTCTGCAAACCATAAAGATCAACAAATCTGTATAGACATCACCAAACAGGTGTTTTTATTAAATATATTTTTTATAAAAGAGTGCTGTGCATTTTTATCTTCCCCTGAACCCAAAGTGTTTGATCTGACAACACATACAAATGTCAGCAAGTCTACCATAGCATAATATAAAAAAGGTCTATCTTTACCTTTAAGGTTTTCTTCATAACTAGGTTATCATTTTTGGTTTTGTTGATGTTATGCAGCTTCTCTGCTGAGCTTTCTAGACATGTATACCATTTGTACATATGATAATTCACAAAGCATATTCTAGTAAATCAACAGCAAATCTGAACACTCACCTGTAAGAAAGTTAGCTAGGTTATATATAATTTCAGTAATAAAAATACACATGTAGTGTGCTTCAAATTCTTGTTGTCTCTTCTAATAGATAATATCTTCTTAAGGGATATAGAAATAGAAATGCAATTATAAATAACTGAAGAGTTGATACTTGGAGTGAGTATACATATCTAGCGGGTTTTAACACAAACACCACCGTAACCTTGAAGTTGGAGATGCAACACAGCTGGAAGCAAAGCAAATGAGGACAGTAGTAGAATTAATGGAGACAAAACCAGAAGGATGCATAAGATAGATATCACCAGAAATTGCCCAAAATAAAAGCAAATGAAGCTAAATATTAAGAAGTTTTGAGCATAGCAGATTGTCAGCCCTGCCACTAAAAGATGACTGACTTGAAACACAGATAAGAGCTAATATAAGAAATGTAAACTACTGAGTTGCTGTATTCACTACATAGATTCCCACCTCAATATGCCAAGCTACTGCGGCACATGAAGCCAAAATACATAGATAGTCCACTTTGTGGCTGCAGTGATATTACTGATACATGTTTCAAACATTCAAGCCAACCTCGACAAAGCTGGGAGCAGTCTACAAAAGCCAAACCACTGAGATCCGACAAACCGCCTCAGCCAGATCACAACACGAGAGGGACAACTTTCCCTCCCTCTCCTCCCCACTTCCTCCCCATCCCTCACCCCTTTTTCTTTTTTCCCCCAGTTCCGTCAGCAAGAACAAGGGAGCACATAGTAAATAATAACACGCACTATGCTATAGATAAGCTCCTACTGAGACTACGTGTTAAAACCAAAAGCTCTGCTGGAATTGTTAATCTCACTGTGATAAAATCATAGAGTAAAGGAAGCCTGAAGTCGTGAGAATGCAAGCAACCTCCTTGGGAGGCAGGGGAACCAACCAAGAGAGAACAGAATGAGAACTGTACGTCTTTACCCAAGTTATAGAAGTTTGCATTGCGTATTGTAATTGTTATTACACTTATATTAAATGTATCGCAACGACTTACCAAAAATAAAGAATTAAAAAAAAAAGGCAAGCCAAGACATAACTGCTTAGCATACCTGAGAGGAAGATGCCAGGCTGATAGCTGAATGTAATGAAAACAGTCAAAGGCCAAAAGAAGAGCAGGGTTAGGGAAAGATGTAAAAGAGCAATGGAAAAAAGATATAGGTAATGGAAAATACCCAGAGTTCCCTAGCCCCAATGGCTGGCATCCAACTTCCCAATGAAATCTGTTGAGGGGCCAAAAATCACCTTGACATTCCAGGCCTGCATGTGCAGATGCCACCATCACAGTTCTGTTCAGACTTCTGGAGTGAGAGGCACTCAGGGGTCATACGACCTACCCAAGCACAGGTATTTCACTTTCAGTCATTACGGTAATGAAGAGGACTGGGTTAAATAGATTCAATCGAGAAAAACAGGAGGCCCACAATGTGAGCATGAAGATGAAGCCAACTCGTTAAGAGGTCATACTAGATTTAGTGTTAACAAATGGAGATTTGGTATCAGATATTACTGTAGGTGAAAGTTTAGGATCCAGTGATCATCAATCAGTGTGGTTTAATATAAGAACAGTGACTGAACCACACCACACAAAAAGAAAAGTTTTAGACTTTAAAAAAACAGACTTTTCTAAAATTAGAATATGTGTAAAAGAGTCATTATCAGACTGGAGCAATTTAGATGGAGTCCAAGAGGAATGGGATTATTTAAAAGTTGCACTGCTGAAGGCAACAGAAAATTGCATTAGGCTTGTCAGTAAAAGCAAAAAAATCAAGAAGCCACTGTGGTACTCTGCAGATGTGGGCAAAATAGTAAAAAACAAAAGTTAGCATTAAGTAATTATTTAAAAAAACAGAGTGAGGAAGACAAAATGATCTATAAGATTAGGCAGAAAGAGGCTAAGCAAGTTATAAGAGCTTCCAAATCACACACAGAAGAGAAAATAGCACAGTCAGTAAAAAAAAAGGGGACAAAACATTTTTTAGCTACATAAATGAGAAAAGGAAAGTAAAACAAGGATTAGTTAGATTAAAAACAAAAGAAGTAAGGTATGTATATTTTTGTTCAGTATTTACCGATGAAAATGAAGGAATGGGACCTCAGTTAGGAAAAAGGATAAATTAGTAATTTATTACATGTGAGTTTACAGAGGAAGAGGTTCTATTTCAACTGTCAAAAGTAAAGACAAATAAGTCAATGGGACCTGATGGAATACACCCAAAGTTATATAAAGAGCTTAGTGGTGTACTAGCAAAACCATTAACAGATTTATTTAACCAATCATTGTTAACAGGAGTAGTCCCAGAAGATTGGAACTTAGCGAGTGTTGTGCCCATTCACAAGAAAGGTAGTAGGGAGGAGTCGGGCAACTATAGGCCAGAAAGCCTTACTTCAGTAGTGGGGAAAGTAATGGAAACCATGTTAAAGGATAGGATTGCTGAACATCTAAAAATACATGGTTTTCAAGATCAGAGGCAACATGGGTTTACTTCAGGGAGATCATGCCAAACTAATCTTATTGATTTTTTTGATTGGGTAACTAAAATAATATATCAGGGTGGTGCAGTAGACATTGCTTACCTAGATTTCAGTAAGGCTTTTGACACTGTTGCACATAGAAGGCTTATCAATAA